GAGAGAGAGAGAGAGAGAGATTTCGCGCAAGCTTGCTTTTGTGTGTTTCTGTAGATTAGCGGCCAAGGGAACCTCTCTGTCTCCCTGTCACTTGATCCTTGCAACACCGTTCCCACAACACTACAAAGGACCCAGCAGGAGACAGACAGTCCTTGTTCAGATGAAAGATAGAGCTTGGGAAAATGATCAGGAAAATATTCCAAGTGAATTCCACCGATACAAGGAGGCACTTTGTTCAGCAGGAAATGGACTTTCATTTCATTTCTTTTTTTTGTGATCATCTTGCCATTAGCTGACAAATAACCATGATGACAACTTTTAATGAAAGTGGATAAGAAAATAGAAAATAAAATTAATTTGCTTGAGGAAAGTGGTAGAAGCTTTTTCTTACAATTATGATTATAATTTAGATCTGTGCTTCTTTTTATCAAAATCTCAACCAATAAACTTAACAAAAGAACAAAGTAGAATTGTTGAAAGTGATTTAAGTCATCATTTTTAGCATTCTAATAGCTAATAATAGTAATTTCCTTAAACACATCTTACTCACCAGGGTTTTCTTCAGGTAGAGGCGCAGTGGGATCCAGAGGAATGGAGCAGGCTCTGTGCTGCTGCTGCTACAGGTGTACTTATATGCAGGTGTGCAGGAAGTGGGTGGAGTTTTGTCTTCAGTTAGCTCTGTAAATGATGTGTGCGTACTGCACCTGAAGGTCTTGAGAAGGGTAGATATGGTAAAAAAAAATTATATAATTGGATAGCTCAATTTCTTTAGATATGCTTGTTTTGCGTAACTGGTTCTAATGTGATTCTCTTGTTTTGATTAGATAGCTCAAAATGAGCCATGCAGACCACTCTTTGTGACCTAGTTTCCATTGGTATAACTATGATTGTTTGTTTGTAAACAGTCTTGCTTCCTGGCTAGTAAACAATAGACTAACGGTTTATTTGTTAGTCTATTTATTCATCAAAATAGAGACTGACCTTAATGTGCAAGTTTTTTATTCATCAGTAGGTGTGGAGTCTTGTAATGAGACTGTAAAATACCTTTCCATTTCACCTGCCTAACTGAGGTGCAATATGACTCCTTTCTGAGTTACTTCATGTTCATTTTGTACCTTTTTATCAGAACCTTAACAGTTGTGATAGACTTTTTTACATTTAAAATATGTTTCTAGTTTGATAAATTCTGTAGAGATTGAAAAGACAGATAGACCATTTTTAGTGTGTGTGCACAGGAGGTTTCCAGTAACCACATCGCACATACATCTTCTGTACACAATGAGGGACAAACACTGAAGTACAGTAACAATAAGCATAACATGTTTTCATTCTGTCAACAGCTATTTTGTCAGCGATGCTGAGTACTCAGCTTCCACCTAGCCGCATCACTGATCACAATACAGCATGCCTTCTTGTGTATCTGTGCTATTAAATATCTCATTCTCATTACTATACCTTCACTGTTTGTATCTGGGTGGGTGGAGCATCATCCTGCTGTAACCTGAGCCTCCTTCTACCTGTCCGGGATAAAATATTCAACAAGTCACTCAGCAGAAAGAAACAGACGTGGTGTGGGTTGTAAAGGCTCACTTCAAACAGGTCAGGAAGGCCAGAATATCACAACCTATGTATTTTACTCCCAATAGTTGCAGAAATAGGTGCAGAAACAGAAAAATATATTAAAGCTTGGACTGTAAACCCGGAAACACTCCAAAAATGTGTCATTGTTAATAAAGTTGTGACTCTGAAGATGGGACTCCTGTAATTTGAGCTACAGGAACTGACAGTCAGTCAGTGTAAACATTTCCCTGAACTTAATTGTCACTAATCTACTATTGAGTACACATACACATGTTCTCATGCTAACACAGCTCATATACAGTAAGAGTGACGTATTTCCTCTCATCCAACTATAATTCTTATGAACTTTGTTCATGCAAAGTCTTATAGAAACATAGAGGGCTGTGTAATATTAAATATGTGTGGGTGAAGCATGTGTTTCCCACATGTTATCATATTCAAATTCAAGTGAGATGAAAATATGTCTTTCAGCATTGCAAATGTCTCTATTTGCATTTGGTTCCTGTAAGTTGTATTTGAGCAAAAAGTGAATAGCTAATTACAGTAGACTTTTTTCTTGTTTACTCAGACAAAGTTTTTATGTCCTTACATTTTACAAGCTGCAACATTAGCTAAAAATCAGCTACAAATCCTCTTAATATTCTGGCCTCAGTTGACCAATTTGTATTTCAGAGCACCACCATAGTGATCATACAATGATCATATTTTATCAAAATAATGATACCACTCATATGGTGCTTTGATAAAAGCTTGTTTACCAAAACACACCAGACTAAAAAGTAAAAAATGGTAAACTGAGGTCATAGTATTAAGAAATAATTTTATAATAAAAAAAATAATAAGGTAACACATTCCAACTTCATTAAACTGTAACTTTTTCTGTTTAGTTAAAATCGGCAACATAATCATTAACTTCACTCTGGATTCATTTGGTACAAGTTAACTCAAAGTCAAATCCTGCCTCTGATGAGATGAGAAAATAATTTTTGGACTGCTGCTGTCCTAGAAGGTTAATTTCTGTGAATTAAACAGTGAAGCTTGTGCATCTTGTGGTAAATAATAATTATTTATTTGTACAGCACTTCTCGAAACCAATGTTACAAACAATAAAACCAGAAATACAGGAATAAAATCAACAATGTGCAGAGTATTGAACATTATAAGATCAGGTAGGAAGGTCAAGCATGTGACATTAAACTTACTGATAGGCTAATTGATATAAATTAGTTTTAAGAAGTGATTTTATAATTCTTTATAGGAAGAAAATGATCTTATGTAATGGTAATGTTGTCCTAATCACTGATGGAAATGGACAACAGATTAAGTGTGTTATATGATGGACTGGGAGACAGAGAATGAACTAAAATAAACAAAGGAAAAAACATTAACATTTATATTTGATTATTGCAAATTCATCCAATCATCATTGGTTAAAATTGTTGCCAGTGCCACAGTCCCCTTAGACCACAAACACACACACACACACACACACACACACACACACACATTCACCAGTCAACAATCTCCATTGTTGCAGCTGTAGTCTATCTCCACTGTGTGGTAAAGGCTGGTAAATACAAGTGAAGTGCACAAAAGAGCAGGTATCAGCACTTCCCAAAAGAGGGCAGCAACAATCTATTTTTCCATGTTTTTTAAGAGCTTGTCAAATTAAATGTTATTTCAAATGGGTTTGAGTGAGAGGTAAAATAAAAATAAATATATTCTTTATATGATATGATTTAAGTAGGAAAACAACATTAATCTAGACTTTCAGCTCTTCAAATTATATATACTAAAATATTCAAACCCAATACAAATGGTTGCACTAAGATGTCTCCATTACATACACATTTTTTCTAAATCCATATTCAATTCAAAACAAACATATGTGGTATCTCTGAAAACTCTTCACAGGCTGCTGCTTAAAGGGGTTAAGATGCAGATCCAGAGATGCACATCCCTGCATGAGACCAATCCTGATCAAGCTGAACCTTAATCAGCCTTATTGTATTAACCTCTTACTTTCACTTTCTTGCTCTCTCTCTCTCTCTCTCCTTCAGTCAGTGTGGATCCGAGTTTGGTTGTTAAAAAAATAAACAGGTGATTAGACTGGCAGGATGTCAGGATACTACTCATGACCCCACTTGACCCCTCGCGACCCCTGTCACAAGCGATCATGTGACCACACCAGCAAGATGCACACACTGTGGTACTGGTGACATCCAGGTCAGGTCATCACTCATATTACACAATATTAAACAATGCAGATAGAACAAATATGTTTATTTAGATGATTAAAAATTTGTGTGAATATGAAATCAGTAACAGTTTAGGACATTTTTTAGATAAGCAGTCAGTTTACTGTTATGTAAGTCAATGACACAACACTACCTCCTGTGGAAGCTGTAATAAAGAAGCTTCAAATGCCTTCAGCATCAAGCTGTGCAACATCTTTGCTGCTCTGGCCATGAAAATGACTGACGTCT